TACTGGTACCTTCCTATTAGCTCAAAGGAGTCCGATCTCTGGCATCAATAAGGCATTTTCACACAGAGAATTGGTGCTCACTGGATATTTTATCTTTTTCAAACTGTTTTCTGCAAACCCTAGAGAGCACTGTTTGGTAAAATCCCAGCAGGTCCTTAAATAATTAAATACTTAAACCAGCACCAGCAGCTACGCCATACCCAAAGTCACTGAAACCACCTTACCCATCCGGATGTTGAATTTGGACTTCAGCAGGTTGTCTTGGCCATGTCTATATTTGTATATGCATTGAGTGTAAATGCAGTCTTGTGGTTGGCTGATTATTTATTTGGAGTAAAAAGCAGTTAAACAGGTGTGCCTAACAAAGTGGCCAGTGAGCATATATTCCTCTTTCCTTCTGTTTCCTTCTGTTTATGTTATATATTCCTGATTGTCTGCTTGTGCTCTGTGTGTTTACCTTGGATTTAATGCACCCCTTTTATGGATTCTTGCTTTAACTCCCAGACTTGATGTATGACTTTGTGTACTTTGTGAACAACCATGAATTCTTTTTCTTAATTTTTTTGTGTGTCCAAAATCTGAGCCAATGTAACAACAGGAGAAAAACAAATCCAACATAAACACTCACACTTATGCCCCTTCCAATGAGACATCAGATCTGCATCAGTTATGTATCACTCTTCAGCCCTCTGCTGGAGCGTTTTGGTAACAACAACATATTTTGCTTGAAAACTTGAGTTGTCAAACTTGGGATGACTCTGTGCCAATTTCAGGAGCCAGCATACGAATGAGGGCTGCACAAGGAAGTATGCTGTGTTTGTAACTTAAACTAAATCTGAGTCAGTTTATCACTGATTTATATTTCTGAAACATTAGTGAGGTGACATATCTTGATCAGCTGCATCTATCAGTATTTAGCTTTAGTCAGCTTTGATTACTAAAACAGAACGGTTCAGTCTGAAGGGACCATGCTCCCTTGTTCTCATTCTGTTGTATCATATTACGTAATGAAGGAAATCTACCATGCAGACTGAATTCCTTGCTTATGGCGCCGGACAAAAAGTTATAGAGGTGCAGATTGTCTTGCAGACTGGCCTAAGAACACTGGGCTTAAAATATCCTAAATCAATTGAACCACTGGGTTCTGTAGAAGAGGAATATGTACTCAGCTATTTTAATTGAGTAACGGTGTTTGTGCATTCATGTTAAGTATCCTATTACAAGGAAAGGGTTTGCACTTATACTCCTTTGCTTAAGATAAAAAAGGTAGAAAAATGCCTGTCTAACATACAATGTTAAGCTTTTGATAGCTTGACCTTGATATTAATCAATTGCCATTTTAAACCAGTGTTTTGGGGTTGTTGTTTTTTTGTTGTTTTTTGTCTAATGAATCCAAAATTGGGCAGTGGGGTCTGTTTTTGTTGCTTCCAAAGGTCAGAACATGAATCTGTGATTTTTAGGAAATTATTGTTACCCAATTTGACTGCTTAAAACTGCTTTCAAGTCTTGGTAAGAACATCTACTCTTTTTGTATCTGAAAAATGTTAACTTCTATTATTTGAGGTAGCAAGTCAGAAAGAATCTGAGCAGACTTCTTTAGCAGCTCATTGTCTCAGCTGCAGGCTCAATCATTTACCAGTTGTTTCCCTCAGTCTTGAATAATTACTGAAATAAACTCACGTGAAAGGCCTAGAGGAGGAATCATATGTGGAATATTTTTTCTAAGGAGTCAAACTAAAGACCCAAGCCTCCCAGTTTATTCTTTAAAAACACGTTTAGTTACACATGTTTAAACTGTAGTCTCAAGCTAATAAAATAGGTTTAGGGACAGGATTGCTTAGACTTTGTCAGATAAAAATTAAACTATATTGAAATGTGCATAACTCTTCAGTCCTCACAGGGTGCATTTAGAAAGGCATCTGAGCTACAACAAACAGGTCATGAAAAGAACAAGGAGTCCTGTGAACAGATGGTAAGACCCCTGCAGAGCCCTGATTCTGGCTTCCTGGAGTCTGTCTGGGATTATGCAGGAAACCAGCAGAGACTGAGACAGACTAAATCTCTGGTAAATTCTGGACTGGGCTGGCATTTCTATAGCAAGCCATGTCCGCAGGATATGGAACAACCAGCCCAAACTATGTGCTAGGCTGCCAATGAGAGCTGCTGTTTTGGAGATTGCACTCAATCATTCACCTTATTTTACATGGTTACTCCAGTTTGTTTGCACCTAATTAATAAAAACATTTTCGAAAGTTCTCAATTTTTATTAGAATTTTTGCAGAGAACTGGCCTTTATAGTAAGCTGTTGCATTTATTGCATATGCAGTCAGTTTGGTAGAGCACATATTCAGTTCAGAGTAGCATAAATAAGTCTGAAAAATGATGCTCTTTAAAAGAACAACAACACTATACTGTAACATCATACAGGAAAGTGTTTGTTGCTTTGCAAATTATTCTATTTGTTGTGTCTAACACTGAAACAAAACACTGAATAGCATTTTTAAAAATCAGCACCCTGACTTAAGGTAGACTTCTGCACA